GTGGGGGACAGTCACTTGATGATGACTTAGAGACCCCCGTGTGGGGAAGAGTGTTCCAAGGGTGTTGCTTGAGTGGCTTGAGGGTTCTAAGAAGTTGTTAGTTTCATTGCTCCAGGACTGAGCAAATCCTTCCAATATCTATTGGTTGACCAAGTTCACCTTAGTGCATCCATAGACCCAGGAACATGCTATGAAGCTTGGGCAAGAGAATTGCCCAACCTATTCTGCTCTCCAACCTGGTCTAGCTAAGCTGGTTGTGATGTCCCCCATTTGCATCTGGACATGCTGTCCACTGCACAGGCATTATCAACTGAAGAGGCCCAGTCCCAATACATGCACTCTAAGCTTGGATCACACGTCCTATGATTTTCCCTGTGGGCAGGGTCTGAGTCCAGTGGTGTAGCTGAACCTGTGCTATTAAATCACCCTGTTCTGGTTTAGTACTATCATTAGTAAATTTCACTTTTTTTTTTAAAAGATTTGTTTTTATTATTTTTTAATTGGAAAGGCGGATATACAGAGAGAAGAGACAGAGAGGAAGATCTTCCGTCCGATGATTCACTCCCCAAGTGAGCCGCAACGGCTGATGCTATGCCAATCCGAAGCCAGGAACCTCTTCCGGGTCTCCCACACGGGTGCAGGGTCCCAAAGCTTTGGGCCGTCCTCGACTGCTTTCCCAGGCCACAGGCAGGGAGCTAGAAGGGAAGCGGGGCTGCCGGGATTAGAACCAGCGCCCATATGGGATCCCGGGCGTGCAAGGCGAGGATCTTAACCACTGCGCCACCACGCCGGGCCCAAATTTCACTTTTTTTAAGAGGAGAAGAAAAGACAACCACTTTAGAATTCAAAGGAGACAATTTCTGGGGAAAAAATGTCAGAAAAATTTCTAAGTTCAGTCTAAACTTCGTGATTCCCACCTCTGAGGCAACTTTCCTCCTTTAAGCCACACTCCCCGAATCTCTTTTGGCAGTTATGTCATTGTAATAATGTAGATTGTTTTTGTGACAGAGTGGGGTATTTTAGTCCAAAGATATCAGCAGAATGGCCACAAGAAATATTCAGGGTTACTTAATTTTTAGGGAACACAACTAGGCATTAATTATGCCAAACCCAATTGTCATTTTTTTGGGGGGCAGGCAGTCCACGGCAACCAGATGAATAATACTTTAAATATTATTCAATAAGTTAACTTATTATGTGGGTCTGTTTATCATTATCAGCTCTTAGCATCTCTTAGCTATAGTCCTTAAAATGAAATCCACTAGAACAACTACATTATGGACTTGCTGTGGAAGAGAATAGGATTCAGTATTGGTTATTGTAAATGTACATTTATTTGTGTTATTATATAATTAATGTTAGCTTTCTAATGTTATATTAGATATTATATAATCTAATGTTAGATTATAAACTGTAACATCAGGAAAACTGAGCCTCTCCTTCTTTATCTCTAACACCCTACAAAGCGCCTGGTACTTATGTGTTCATTATGTTTTTGATGGGTAGATGATCCTGGAAGAGATTTTGGTGCAATCCTGGATACCTTGATTGGTAAAACAAGCTTCTTAGCAACCAAGATGAATTTAGAGGAGATATGCTGCTCACATTTACAAAGGGTTAAGAACTGGGGAAAGTGTAGGCTGACTCATATAGGTTTGCTAATTTTGCAATCTAAAGAAGACAAGTATTTTCTTCATTTCTCACCCAATTGAATTTCTGAGATTCATTTCAGTGCATCCCACTTTCAAGAAACATCTGTAGCCTGTGCCTGTATTCTGTCAAGATGGGTGAGAAGATCAGAAATGTGAGAGACATTTTTAACACTTGAGCATCTTTTCTGGAAGGATCAAAGTTCTTAGGCTCCTGATCCTCTTGGAATTGGGATCAATAATTGGAAGTTACTAGATAATTATTTTTTTCTGACTATGGAGCTTTTATTGTGTGATGTTCCTTCTTTTATTTTTTATTTTTCATGATATAGTTCCATAGGACAGGGATTTCCCCTTCAGCCCTCCTTCCCTCCATTTCCCCCCATATTATTATAATAGTGCAGTCCTTTAGCAACAGTCTCGAGTCCATCATTCTGCTAAGTGCCTCATCACACTGTAGGTATAGACAATGGTAGAAAGTGTAGCATCCTGTTGTCAAAATATATTTAACAGTTTCATTGGATGATCTCCTTTATTTGGAAGATGCATACTCCATGATATAGTTCCTCTAGGTAAATATATGTATATATGTACATGTGTATATATATATATATATATATATATGTTTAGCTATACATCTGGTATTTTACATGAAGGTTTTTTTTCAATATCAGAGAGAATATATGATACTTGTTCATTTGTTACTGGTCTATTTCACTAAGTATAATTGTCTGTAGTTGTGACCATTTTGATGCAAATGGTAGCAAATAAGTGAGTCTATGTACAAACATGATTATTGACTATTAACCACACTAATTACTAGAAGTGATCTGTATCTCCACTACAGTTTATTGGTTGACAGGATTCCAAATAGGATGCACAGTATGATTCCTTCTTTAGAATTATGTGTGCTGATTTACTTATATATGTGTGTATGCATCTGTATGTATGTATATATATGTATATGCACACATGAACACATGGTCACAGAGAAAGTGTGTAGTGATTAGCTGTGTGATAAGGAATAGGGGAATGGAAGATTTAGAATTTTTGCCTTATTACTGTGTGATTTGAGGGTGCTTCAAAAAGTTTGTGGAAAATAGAATTTGAAGATTATGTGCACTTGCCATGAACTTTTTTTTTTTTTAAGATTTATTTTTATTATTTTTTCATTGGAAAGGCGGATATACAGAGAGGAAGATCTTCCGTCCGATGATTCACTCCCCAAGTGAGCGCAACGGGCCGATACTATGCCAAGCCAGGAGCCAGGAGCCTCTTCTGGGTCTCCCACGCGGGTGCAGGGTCCCAAAGCTTGGGCCGTCCTTGATTGCTTTCCCAGGCAACAGGCAGGGAGCTGGAAGGGAAGCGGGGCTGCCGGGATTAGAACCGGCGGCCATATGGGATCCCGGGCGTGCAAGGCGAGGACCTTTAACCACTTGCACCACCGCGCTGGGCCCTACTTGCCATGAACTTTTAAAAGACTTCTCTGCCTCCCACTTTTTTTCTGAACCACTCATTGATTTTAGAGGTCAGTGTTTTGGCACAGGGGTTAAGCTGCTGCTTGTTAACACTGGCGTCTCACACCAGAGCTCGGGTTAAGAGTCTCAAGGGCTTCACTTCCCACCCAGCCTCCTCCTAGGAGGCCTGGGAAATCAGTAGAAGATGGTCCAAGTGCTTGGGTCCCTGCGACCCATGAAGGAGACCAGGATGTGGTATCTAATTCTTGGCTTCAGCCTAACCCAGACGTGGCTGCTTGTCAAGATGTGGTGAATGAATTAGTGAATGGAAGAGTTCCTCAGTCCCTCAGGTCTAGTGGTCTGCCTTTCAGATAAACTAAAAAACAAATCTTAAAAATAAGTTGTTTATTCTAAATTTGTATTTATTTGAAAGGGAAGGAGGGTGAGAGAGAGAGAGAGAGAGAGAGAGAGAGAGAGAGAGAGAGAGAGAGAGATCTCATCTGCCAGTCCACTCTCTAAGTGTCTGTAATGATTGGGGCTGAGCCAGGGGTAAAATCAGGAGCCAGGATCTTGGAACTCAATCCAGCTGGCTAGCAGGAACACAACCACAAGAGCCATCCATGTGTCTCCCCTGGTATGTACTAGCAGGAGTTTGGAGTCAGGAGCCAAACTTGTTTATTGAACTAAGCACTCTGATATGAAATATGCATCCCCTAACAAGCATTTTAATCCCTAGGTTAAATTAATGCCTACTCCTGTGTTATTTTGAACAGTGAATCTGTAAAGCTTATGGTTCATTTCTGAGCATCCAACAATATATTGGATTCTAATGGCATACTGCAATAATTTTGTCAACATTCACTAGATATCTGATATTTTTGAGATTGAGATGGTTTTTGCCATACCCATAATTTGTGAATTACGATACATTTAATAATTAAAAGCCAAGGAAGCTATGAGTATGATTATTCTGTATACCATATTGTTGAGATAGCTGTTTATCTACAGTAGATTAATAACAGACTTGGGACAATGGAACAAATTTAAGCCCCGAAAACGAGAGCTGGAGAAGGGACATTGTTTCTGTTGATAACCATGCTATAAAAGCATTTACAACCCAAAGAGACAACTGCCTGTGGGAGGAGTTCCTTGGCCAGGCACCACTCTGATCTGTGAAGCTGTGAGTCTTTCTCTGAGCACAATCTCCAAGTCTGAGCCTTCCTGGGGTGTTCACACAGTAACCCAAGCTCTCAGGAATTCATACAACACCAAATTACATTGCTGTTCCTGGCATTGCTATGTATTTTCACAGACAGAAGGACATTGTTTAAAATTCAAGAGGTTTGTGGCTAGATTTTCTTCTTCCGGTAAGGCTCACACTCTTCCTTTACTTTGTTTTGAGCCTAGAAAGAAGCTGAAATAGTACCTATGCCAATTATCTTTTGAGGTTGGTACAGGTCAAGTATGGTCATATTAGGGAAAGAGCTTTGAGGGCTGTGAACTACCCAAAGAGCAAGAAAACATCTGAGTAGATTAGTTCCAGAGGGAGAAAATTTCAAAGCTGATTGCAAATCAGTGATTTTTTTCACTTGGCTCTGGATTAGAAGAACTTTATTCTGTTTTTGAAGTACTTCAAAAATTTGGGTGCTATACTCGAATATAGTAATCATTACTGGCCACTTCTAGTACAAAGTGACTTAGAATTCCACACTAGCAGTCACAAATGCCTTTACATCAATAATAACAATGTTAAAGGTCAGGAAATTAAGAAGCAGTATTGTTTGATGCATTAGGTGAGTCACCAAGATCTAGAGTGCAGTGAGTCTTTATATCGCTTGCAAGAGTAAAATGAAACACTCCCCAAAGGTCGGAAAGATTCTAACAGGCAGATAACTTTGCAGACAAAAAAACGTTTTATTTTAAACCACAAGTAGTCAGCAGGTGGCCACAACTATCCATGTTTCATTAAAACCTAGGTACAAAAGCACCACTGATTATTGCTCTAGAAAAACTGCATGAAAAATTCAAATATGCACAGTAAAAACACCACAGTATGCACAGGACTAAAATTTTAAAGCAAGTGCATGGAATGCTAAATCAATTTTACACACAGCTTCCAATATTAAATTGATATTTATTTTACTTGAGAATGATGGAAATTTCCAAAAAGCATGACTATCAGAGGGTAAAATGTCCACCCTTATATATTTTTGTACGACAACTAGTAGAGTCCTAAAAAAATTAGCATTTACAAAATACTCGGTAAAAATAGCTTTTAAAAGTTGTTTGAAGAGGTACACAAAAATCAACCCCAATTCTCCATGACCATTCATTTTCCCTCGTTAGCTACAGATTCAGTTTTCTGAGCCTGTGAAAAAGAAAGAAAAAGATTCAGTTACTATACTAAAGCTACTACAACGAAAGAAAAATCCACCCACCATCACACACTTCTGATTATTTGTTTCTCTGTGGCTTTACTGCACCATCTAGTTTACCTCTGCATGTAAAGCAGAAAAGGCAGGAAGGTCTTATGCAAACACTGCACTGCATTTGCTGCTTTGTGCTTTCCAAGCAACCACAGAAATCTTACCTGCAAGCTCCCACTGTTCATAACAGGAAAATTAAAACAAAACAAAACAAAACACAGCACACTACCATCTGAGTCTAGTCACTGCAAACATGCAGAATGTTCTACTGTACCCTTAACTCTCACTGTTTCAATCTGCCCCTTTACTGACAATGTGCTGGGTGGGGTACTTCTGGAGGTTGAGACATTAACAGTTGAGCGAGAGATGTGGATCTGCAATTACATTTCAGGCAATAAAGAGAGATATTATGAACGTGCTATCAGTGGCTGAAGAATTGAGCAATTTCTTTTAAGACACTGATTCAATCAGCGGGAGGTATTTATGGAAAGTACCTCTTCAGCTTTAGTTTCACCATTTTCAGATGGTGCAGTACCTTCCTTTCCAGCTTCTTGCTTTTCTTCCTTCTTCCCTTTAGTGCCTCTGTTAATCTTTGCTCCAGCTTCTTTCTATCAGAGGATCAAAGCACAGGGAAACAAAAGATGTTAACCACCATGAGCGATGTGGTGAAGTTAGCTGAAATCAATCATCTCTTGCTCAACAACAGGTGAAGCATCCAGGTGGCTGGAGGCAGAGCAGGAATTCCAGGCATGCCGGGCTGCCTGTTGAGTAACAGAGTCTGGTGAAGATGGCACAGGCTTAGAAAATCCGCTACACTTTCCCTTACGTGGAAAACACCACACTTCTCTGCATGCTTCTGAGAGCAGTGGCTCAGCCCACTTCGCAGGGAGACGCGCAGCTTGCATGGCTAGAAGGCTGAACAGAGTGCCACAGAGCCGAGGCCCACATGAAGAAACATTCCACAGTTTTAGACGAAGCCACACATTAAGTTCTGCTTCCAGCCACACCTGCTTGGTCCTCCATCCTCATGGTTTCAAATGTTTTACAACCAGGCACAGCTAATACTCTGAATGGCAAAGTGCAACAGAGCCATTTTGGGGTAGGTTTCTCAAGGATTTTAGGCTTTAGTTTTTTCACCTGCAGTGCAGGGCATCTGTGTTTATCTCAAAAGGAAGTGATTGGACGGTTCTAAGAATAAAACAACCAGAACAATGTCTGGCTCACGATAAGGGCTTTGCAAATACTTGCAGGTATTGATTATTACACTGTTCTGATTAGGACATTGACCTTCTACCATGGGATACATGAAATGAGAAATCCTACCCTAGCCATGCTCCGATCCCCCACCCCCTCAATGCTATATGAACTAGTCGTAGGCAGATGCAAGGCCCCAACTGGAGATGAGGCATCTTGGGGCATCACACTATGACTTCCTGTGACTCATTGAGCAAACAGAAAACATATCTTGAAAGAGCATGAAATTGTGCCTTATGTCTTTTAAGATAGTATAGTGGTTAACAGCATTCTGGTCATTACGCTTTGGCCTGAATCATATGGAATGTGCTCCTTACTTGGGTGATTTTTTTTGATCGTGGATTATAATGTATTCATGGCTTTAAGAGTAACATGGGTGGTGTACGGTACCTCTTACCTTAGCAGATGTTTTCCTTGGTTTCGGCTCAGGTTTGGGTGGAGCAGGTTTCTGCAAAAACAATTATACAAATACTGAGAAAGACAATAGCATCAAGAGATGCAAAAGGCCTGCAAAAGACAACTGTTCATTCTGACTGTGTTTTTGGGAAAAAATCACATCCCAGCTTCAGCATTAGGTAACAGCAAAAAGACCCCTGCATCTCCTAGCTGTTTTCACCCTGAGTTTGGAAATGAGTGGCAGAGGAGCTGGAACAGCTGACTCATTGTTCCCCCTCCCCACCCCCGGTCCAGGACAGTGCTCTGGGAAGAGGGCTGAACTTCTACCTGTACTGTCTCTGTACTTCCTTTTATCACACAGCACAGCACCAAGAGGAATGACTCAGGCCCTTGGTGAAATGACTCAATGAATTTGGTCACAGTGGCCTTCACAACGGTTCAGAAATCACAACACAATCATAGGCAAAACCTCGCCAGCAATGAAGGCTGCTGCTTGTGCAGCATTTCAAACTCATTTTTAAATGCTTCCTCCTCTGATGCAGATATCCAGGTGCTTTCTACATAAAACTCCACAGTATCAGCTTAAGGTAAGACTAACACAGCCAGACACTGGGTTCATTTGGCTCTAGAACGTTTTTATTAAGAATGCAATTATAGGGGCCAGCACTGTGGTGTACTACTGGGTTAAGCTGTGGCCTGTGATGCCGGCACATGATATGGGCACTGGTTTGAGTTCTGGGTGTTCTACTTCCAATTCCACTTCCTGCTAGTGCTCCTGGGAATGCTAATGCTCCTGGGACTCTTGCACCTGAAATAAACCGCTGTCTCCCAGCTTCAACCCAGCTCAGTTCTAGCCATTGCAGCCATTTGAGAGATGTACCAGCGGGTGGAGGGTCTCTCCCTCCCTCTGTAACTTTACTTTTTGAACATATTACTAAGTCTTTTTAATGCAGTTTTAATGATAAAAATTCCCCATGTCTATAAATATTATAAAAATATTTTAAATAATATAAAGGTATTATTAAAATAATGCCCATCTCTAACATTATTTTTTCACAAATAATACTGGCTCAAAGGACCTCCCAGGAAGCTTTTGGTCTTGCCTTGTGTGAACGTTTTCCTGTTCCCAAGAGCAGGTCCACAAACACTGGGCCAGAGGCCAGGTGGCATTTGTGGATACTCATGATGATAGCCAGGTTAAACTAAAGGCTGTTTGGAGGTATTTAGGGACAAATGTCTTTCTTATAGAAGTGGAATAAAATAAGATTAAGTCTAGCTTGCCTGGCAGTAGAAGCATATTTTTTCAAATAGAAAACACTGGCCAGATTTCTCCCTGTGGAAAAAGATGTATGTTCCTCATTAATGTTCTTAAGTGGTTCAGTTGCATATTGAATCTGGCCCTTTTCATCAAGGCATGAAGTGAAACTTCTAGAAGGTTGGCTGTTATTAGAAATGACCTTTCAAATTATTAAAAAAAAAAAAGAAAATTGAGGTTTAAATGTTTATATTAATCTTCTTTCTACCCTAGATCAGTGCTCTGCTCCCCAAACAGAGCAGTTTGCATGGCTGCTAGAGTCTTTACTACTTAACATATTTTATGATTCCAAGTTTGATATATTGCATTAATAAATACATGTTCAAAAGTTATAGCAAATCATTTAATCGTATGCGATTTTCTTTCAGACAAATTTCTCTTCCTGACTTGCCATTCAAACGTCAGAAGACCTGTAGTCTGTGATCTGCAAGCCTTCGATGAGGCTCTGTGTTGGTCTCACAGCCATGGATCCCAGTTATAGGTACTTAAATAGCTCCTTCCGGGTGCCCAGAAAAGTTTTGTTTTCAATTTTGGTTTTCATTTTACTTACAAAGTATAATCCCTTCACTGATTACCAATTAGCAAGTGGCATCTCCCAGCTCTTAGATTCTCAGAGTCACTGTTAATCATGACCTGTGGTTCTCACATACAACACTGACTCCTTCCCATCCTAGCCCCAACTGGCCTGTACTTCTCAACCAGTGAGTGGTCCTAACACTAATTTGCATGCACAGGCATGGACTGGGGACAGGATCCACATAAGGATGTATGCTCTAAGCCAAGATGGCAATGCCTTTCTTCTTGGTTTCTCTGTGAGCACACTAGCCTGCAGGAGTTTTAACCAGAATCTTCCATGAGAGTCTGGCTGATCTCAGTTAGCAGAATGAGGTCCAGCTCACTGCTGCGAAGCACATGAACCAGCAAGCAGCACAGAGTTGAGGAAGAGGGGGCCCAGTTGTGTCTGACATCAGCCACACAGCCCACTCTAGCAGTACACCTCGCCTTGTCTCTTCCCTTAACAGAGTCCCCGGGACAGTTGCAAAGGGGGATTCCAAGTAACAAAGTAGAATTAATGCTTTTTCAAAGATATTCTAGGTTTAACATGAACATAAACATATGGATTCAGATAACTTTCAAAACATTCTGACAACAGACTGGGAAATTTTCTACACTTGATCTTAGCCAAAAGGCCAAGAAGCGACACATTGAGATATTTCTAAAGCATAAGCTTCAGTTAGAGTTAGAATTCTATCCACTTTAGCTCTTATACTGTAGCTTCTGAAGAAATCTAGCCAGGTCAAATCATGCCATAGCTGGCCACTGTTTTTCACCAATGGATGTGATCAAGTAAACTGCATAGCAACACTGGTTCAGTTTTTCAAGAGAATAAACAAAGCCAAGGGAAGTATAGCCATCATCTTCCTTTTGTTGGTTTGGGCAAAGGGAACATCATTCCCAAGAACTAACACCAAAGAGGGTTTGAGGTACTTACTGCTGACAATCGGGCAGATCGCCTTGTGGGCTATATAAAAAAAAATGGAAAACAATATATTTTCAGTGATGATATACAATCTGGTTGATTTAAAAAATACATCTTTACACATCTTAGTTTCATGAAACAGTCTAATGACTCCCATCACACTCTGCAGGTCTACACAGGAGAAAATTTCAAGTTTCCCAAGCAACGTAACACTCAGGAGAGCACATTTCAAAGAGGTATAGGTTTTCATGAACAGCATCACCCAAAGAAGGTTGTGGTGGGGCAGGAATGGAAAAGGAAGGTAAAGTTTAGGTTCATCTCAATTGATAACCTCTGCTTTTGTGATAAAGTTTACAATAGGAGTATTGAGATGCTAGTTAAGAAGCAGTCTGCTACTTAAGAAACTTCTGTCACTGCACAGAAATCAGAGTAGCTGAAGTCTCTCATTTTTTCTGCTAATACGGAGAGGAGAATGACTGCAAACTGCAGTCACCACTTCACAAGACTTCATCTGTTATACACAAAAAATATACATATCAAATGTAACCAGATATTCGAAGAATTAACTTGAGCAAAAATTTCTCTGCTCTTTTAATTTCAATGCCTAGAAAATTTGGAGACTTTTGAAAAGACTGGTATTTTTTTTAGGAAATCTCTTCTTTTTTAAGTATGGTACAAGCTAACAGCAAATGAGTTTGTAAAGAAAATTTAAAGGAACAAAACTGTTCCACACACTAAGGCAACAGCACATCATTTGACATAATACTGACAGCCCAGCAGAAGCCAGCGTCCCCAAGGATTTCACCTGCTGAAAGTACAACTGCCTTTCTTTTGAAATGTTCCTACAATAAATACTCCATACTATTTGTCTGCTTTATTCACGGCTCTATCTCTAGCCAAACAGGGTACTGACTAACACATACTATATGCTCAAGACAATTTGTTTAATAAGTAAATTCAAGCTTTTCCTTAATCCTCATTGCCCTGTGCATTTATTACCTCATTACAATAGCCCACACGTTTCAAATAATTTGCAGAGGTCAGCAAAAATGACCAGAGTACTTGTACCATGATTGTGCGGAATCATGAAATTCTCATAGCCATATTTAGGTCAGTCTAGGTCAACAGGTCAGACCAAACTGGAAGAAATATTTATTGCCATCTCCACATCTAAGAACTTTCTTGCTGAACAAAGACAGAGAAGCTAAACTCATCTTTCTTTGAACCATAGAAGAAAATGAAGAGCCAGAGCTTCCATGAATAATTTTAACCTTGAGGTCTCAAAGAAAGATCAGAGCTGGACCTAAGGCCAGCTAGCAGAATATACTGGGAATAGAATTCTGCGCAGGTGAAGTTGTTGACTGGGATACATTCATTGCACAGATTAAGGGGATGTACAGCTTGGCACAGGGCTCGGTCTATAGCCCTGTATGGAGATTAGTCAAGAAAAATGTGTATCAGATTCTCCACAGAAAAGACCACAGTACCTGCCATGATTACCAGGGCTGTATTCAAGATGATGCACCCACAAATCCCTGGAAATCAGAGTCAAAATCCTGCAATACCTTTTCCAGGAGGACAGTTAAGCACAGTAATTAGGTATTACCCAAGAAAAGGCAACTTACTCAATTAAATTAGGTGGTAAGCCATTATGCCTTCCTTCAGTATGTTTTCATAGCTTTGAAGAACAAAGTAACACCCACCAGTTGCTAAATGGTGTTCATCTCTGAAAGTCTGGTGTGGTCTTCAGAACTGCCTACAGCATCTCACAAGTGCAGTATAGGAGGTGGGATGATCCTCCAGGAGGGAAAGTGGCAGCAGCCTCCACACTAGACAGAGGAGAGTTCTACCTCCATGAACCCCTCTCGGCTCTGTCCACTATTCACCTCTCTGTCTCATGTCTATTTCCTCCCACACAGAACTATCTTCTCTAAGATTTCTGCAGCTCCAATTTCTACCCAGTGGAGGCCCTTAGTAAATGTGGAGATGAGTGCAGTGAGTAAATCAACCAAAATATATGCTAACTTGAACTTGGGGATGTGTAACATACAGGCACAGTGAGGTCAGTGACCCTTTTTAGGATGTTGCTGTACATGACCTGAAAGTTGTTCTGATCCAAAGGACTTAACAACTATTTACAATTCAGTACAAGAATTCAAAATTAAAAAGCCTGGGAAATCAATGCAAAAACAAACTTCCCTGTCTGGACTGTCTAAGCTAATCAATCTTTAAAAAGTACTTAAAATTATTTTTATTGTTAAATCATAATTTCTGACCTAAAATTTATCAGCTCTTCTATGTATGTCATGTAAAAAAATAACTTTTGTTAAAATTTCGCTTCAGGTAGGCATCGTAATGATTTTCTTTCTCATTGCTAACAGTGGACCGTTATGCAGTGGACTGATTACACATGCAAGCGTGGCTGCCTTCCTGGAAAGTTCCATCAGCATCTGCAGCCTTGAATCTATAGATGATTGGACTATATTTATTGGATATGAAATAGGCTGGATTGATAGTGTTTCCTCTTCAAAACATTAGCATTTGAAGTACTCACTGAAGACTCAGCCTGTTGGGTAGGAGTATTAGGGGACAAAAAGATATTCAGAATCTTCTTGATTTGTTGATTAAAAGTGAATTATCAGGAAAAGTGGTTCTCAGGAAGGGACACAGAGCTTTTAGAATGACAAGTCATCACAAGTTTGACAAAAAACAGTAAGTGTGAGATTTGTCACTGTCGTACCTAAGTGCTGGGCAAATCAGAAGCAAGGGTTACTCTGAAAGATGAGCAGTGTTCAATTTCAAGGTCTTAGTTGCAAAATAATACTGAAGTCCAATTTCAGCAGGAAAAATTTCACAGGAATAACTAGACTGGATTTTGGTGGATACTGTTGGGAATATATGGCTATTTCTACTGAAAACTGAAAATACTTCTATGAAATAAAAATACGGTCCTGAGGCTGACCATGCCATTTCCAAACCAAACCCTTAGGTTCAGTTGCTGACAAATGGACACAGAATTACCAGATCTTTGTGACTATGACAAAATGCCCAGGGGAATGGAGAACTGGGGATGAGGAGATTAAGATATCTTTCTTGCTTCTGCTTCTTAATAAGCAGAGACTTCTGTGGGGGAAATGACACTACTTCTCTGACAACCTTGTTTGCTGTAGTTCCAATGGGGACAATATCTCCCTCGTTTGAAAAGAATAGTACTTCTCGGACATTGCTATCTTCTTTCCCTGATTTATTTTGTCTTCTTGGTGAACATTTAATTGTTTTGACTCTCTTCTGCCCATTAAAATGGAAGCCAAGAAGGGAGAGGCTGTAGCTTCTTCTGTTCACCACAGAGCAGTGTTTGGAGCATGACTGGTGCTCACAGACTCTGTTAAGGGATGAAACTGGCTTCTTTTCATTTTAGGGTTATTGTGCAGATCAGACAAAATAATGGATGTGAAAGGATTGTATAAACTGCTGAGTGCAATGACTGTGATGTATTATTTCAGTCATTTATCATCTATGCCTAAGTACTACACTCTGCATAAAGCACTTTGAAAATTGCAGAAGCGGTAGAGGATTTTCAAAGAGGATCCCCCTTGCAATAGCTGTTCATTCACTAGAGTCAAGGTTGTACATATTCAATGACATAACTGGAAAATGTAGTCTGAATTGAATTTTAATTCAATTGGAAAAATCAACTCAAATGTTATCTCACGGCTTTTACTCACTGCTGCCAGCTCACTGACTGACTCCTTTACTTTCCACACACATCTGGACATCCTGCTATAAGTTTTAAGCTGACCTTGGCTTCTATGATGGTGAAAAGTCGTACCTGCAAATGATTCTTGTTAATAATATCAAAGCAGATAATATACAGAAATAAAATAAAAGGAAACATCAGTAGTATAAATAAAAAGAATGTTGGGTTAGAAAAGAATATGTATAAGACAAATATGTAAGCAAACACACACACACACATATATATATACCATATATATATATAAATGCATATGTGTGTGTTGATTTCTAATCTAGAAGGAAAACTGCTATCCAATAGCTACAGTATGAAAAAGTTTTTAGTTTGTTTGACTGACAAATCAATTTAAATGCCAGTCCTTAAAGGAGAAATCTAAGTACTTTTTGGTGTCTTAATCTAAAAACATTAAAGTTAGTTATACTTGGCCAGTTGTCTTAAAATTATATTTTGCTATTTTTTGAGAAAATCCAAGCATTTATTATTTTCTTTTTGTTTGGGTCCAACATTTATGTGATAAAACAACTTTGCATAACTTTATGATTATCTCAAACTGTTAATGAAAGCCAGATACATGGCAGTTTTGTTTTAGAATTAATTTTCTGTAGATTTTGTTCAAGATTATTCATTTGGCAGAATGAGTTTCCTTGCGTAAAGGAAAAACTCCTCATGTAGCAATTTTGATAACATGACAAACTCCTCCAAATTCTTAATTATAATAGTAATCCAATTAAAGAGTGTAACAAAAACAAAAACGGTTCTGTAGCTAGATATTGTATTTGTCTCTCTATCGCCTTCTTTAGCCTACATGTTCATGTGTAAGAGCTGCAAGGGAAAGGTTGTCTTCATAGCATATCTCGTCTCCTAATTTTTAGTCCATCTCCTTCTAGACTTTCATAGTGTTACCACAAAGGGTCAAATGTAAGCATCTCTTACAAATTCTGAGTTCCAAGGTCAGTGTATTGCAGCATATCTGAATCATTGCCCAATTAGTTACCCCAAGACCCTGAGAGTTTCCCCGTTTTAAAGAAATTAAGCTTTAGTATTTTCACATACTGTGTATCCTTCTATAGTTTCTAGTATTAGAGATGGGTCCTCTTAGGCAAATATCCAGAACCTAAAAGTAAGTTATCATTCACTCACTGGGGCAGAGAGTGTATGAAATCAACAGTCTTTCATTTTCTTGCTGTAAAAAGCAGACTTTGTTCTCCTTGATGAATTCACCTATTATCTCACTCTTTGCCCGGAAGGAATTCCCAGTATCTGCTCTGACACCAGGACCACAGCAACAAATAGCACAGTAAGTGGAATGATGTACTTAACTGAAACACACCAAGGTCAGGCAAGACTAAGCATGGACAGTCAGCTCCACGTCACTCAGTCTCAAACAACTTATATATATATAAGTTGCACATATATATATACACACACACACACACAATTGTGTCCATTCACATGCAGGCAGTAAGAACAGCATTTAACATTACAAATTCAGTAATTAAATACAGGATGTTAAAGATGCACCTACCTCCTGTTTAGTGACTTTGGATCCATCTTTGCCATCTGTATTCTCTGGTGACTAGGAAGAAAATAATTCAGAAAATTGTACTTAACTTGGAAAACACATCAGATGAAGACTAAAACAGAAAAAGCTACTTCAATTCTTTGGACCATAGAATCCAGCAGACTTTTTTGCAGAGAAAAAACAAGTTTGTAAGATGTGTTTATCACAGAAATGCACACACAGCAATCCCCATTTAAAAAAATTATTTGAGAAACAAAGAGGGGTGGTATGCGAGGAGAGAAAGGGAAATCGCACAATGTACTACTATCCACCAGTTCACTCCTCAAATGCCCTGTGTAAGGTGTCTTACGGGGATAAGTGAGGAAGCTGAGACCAATAGTCTGGAGGTGGGAAGCTGGAAGACCTTTATAGATCAGGCTGATGCACCAGCTTAAATGGGACAGCTTAGATCACTGCTGACTATCATTCATGACAAACATTAAAGCTAGGCTTGGGGAGTGGATCCCAGTGTTTGCAAGGTGAGGATTTAGCCATTGAGCCATTGTGCCAAGCTCCCAGGTGGGTTTTAAACCACTGCACCATGACCTGGATCCCAAAACTTTGAATTTGTATTCTACAGATTATCTACAAGGAATCAACAGGAATTGTTGAGATTTTCTAACAGTAAGTGTTGGTTGCCACCACAAACAGCAGTGCTGTGGGCGTAATGAGCCCCACCACCTCTGTTATAACTTGAAAAGGTACGAGAAAAGACAGGGAGCTTCTTACACCATTCATCAGGTGCTTGGAAACTGCATTAGATAGCATCAGCAAGTGGATTTGTCCCTGAGAATGAGAAAGGGTGTGGTAGGGTGATGGCAAAAGTAACACTGGTCATCCTTTGGCCCATGATCTGCAGCCACAGAGGACAAAGAGGTGATCTCAGGGTTCTGGCTTAAACTTTCAAGTCTCTACCTCAAATGTAGGCCCTGAGAAATTACTTCTAAGAGTTTAGGTGACAGCGATTGGTTTTAATGACTTTGGTGAATCAGCTAAAAGCTGAGAGTACTTATGGAACGCAAGTTTGCAGCTGCCATGGAATAAATCCCACTCCAGCTTCTGGGCTATCCATGCCAATGTGGAACAGCTTGAGTAGTTACAGCAGTGCCAACAGACCCAAAATTACTTCTGTTAGCCTAAAACAATGTATTATGTTGAGGGGATTTTTCTCTAACTTGCTACCTAGTGTCTTAACATTATTTTTTGTATCATGTAAGATTTCGTTATGAATAATTTGGCATTCTCTGCCACAAATCCAAGGCTGAAAAAAAATCAATGCCATAGTTAAATGGTTGGCAGAGGAAATTCATATTGAGACACACACACATACATAGCAAATAACCTACTGAGAGAGGAACTAAAAGGTAAGAAACCCTAGTGCTTCTAATTAAAATTAACAAATCTTAACTATTAGATTAACACAAGGTTAACTTTGCCAACAAATGAGAGCATCATCCATGAAATTCGTGTGTATATATAAAATACATATATATATATATATTTTCAAATAACAGGTGACTGCCTTAAATTCAACTATTCTTATGACACATGGAATAGACATTGGAAATTTTATTCCAGGCAACAAGGACCATATAGTTAACACTGACATGGTTATTTTTTCATCTTTTAGTTCTATGTTTGAGGGCCTCTCAATATCTTATTGCTGCTTAAACTAATCTTTAAACATACAATTCTTGAAATTGAGAGACCACAGTCACAGTAGTAATATTAAAATAAATATTAAACTGCTTTGCCACTTCCTCCCTGCTTGGTTTCTCACATTCATTAGGTAATTTCTATAATCCCAAATTGCAATGATCAAAGTCACTACGTGCTAACATAGCTTTCTCAAATAATATTTAGTTATTCAAAAAATAATAGAGTAAGATCTCTACATCAAAAGAGTTTAGACAAATCTAAATAAACAACAACTCTGAGAGTTACTTTGAGGGACAATAGCTCACTTGTAATTAAGTATAAAAGACATTTGAAGGAATGACACTGTAGTGTAGGAGGATAAACTGCTGCTTGCAACACCAGAAACCTATACTAGAGTGCCAGCTCGAGTCCCCGCTACTCCACTTTTGAAATAGTACCTTGCTAATGCACCTCCAAAGGCAGTGGAAGACAGCCTGCATAATTGGGCCACTACCTCCCATATGGGACACCTGAATGCAGCCGCTACCCTCTGGCTTTGGCCTGGCTGCTTTGGCCATTTGGGGTGTGAATCAACAAATGGAGGGCTTCTCTTTTTGTCTCTCCCTCTCTGTCACTCTGGCTTTAAATAAAAAATAATCTTAAAATAACTGTAACTAAAGCCTATGGTCAAGTATGTCCAGTAATATTTTGTTAGTATAAATACTCACTATTCAAGAATAGGGCTATGTCTTAAACACGAAGGGAATAAATACACATTTTAAACCGTTTTTGTCTAAGGTGCTTCTTTTACCTGAGTTACATTTTCCATGCACTATTTTCTAGGTAGGACTCTAGAAAATAAAACCCGCCTGAATCAGAAGCCTAAATCCCAGTGTGGATCACACCTGGCTTCTGGGTTTTTTTCACTAGTAAAACTAAAAGGATAGATCTGAAGAACTTCAATTGCCTGACTTGGCTGCTTATGACACTTTGTGTCATGTGCACATATCGGGATGCCAAGCACCAGGCTCTAGGGAAAAGACAAGAGAAGTGGCATAGAGGAACAACATTGATAATAAAAAATCGGTATTGTCCTTAGGTGCAAAGCAATGATTTAATGTCTTACCATGTTGGTAAACCAGTATTATATCCATTGTATAAATGAAGAATTGAGTCCACAGAGCTCAAGGAATTTCCCAAGATAACTCTATTGGAAATCTAGCAGCTAAATGGAAAAACTAGGGTTTAAATCCAGGTAGGCTGGCTCAAATTTCAAACTCCTAACTGCTAATATCACTCAAAGTGGTTTGTACTGGCTTTTCTAATATTAACAGTTGCTGTGTGTATGGGATTGTGGAAGAGAAAATTCCTCCTCATTTAAGAAATGTTTTAATTGCAACCCTATTCCAAAAGCACATGAAATGTGCTTGTTCACTATTGCTCACCATTCATGGGTCTTGAAATAACAATGGGCAACATATTTAAAAAAATACTTTAAGAAGTAAAGTAATAAGAAGTAGAAAGAATGTAGTCTAAAAAATGCATTGCACAGAATCCATGTGGAACTTCAGGAGTCCTTGAGCTTCCTGTTTGACCACCCCAATATTTCTCTGTATTTGTCTCCTAAATACACCATATCTAATACATAGGTTATCCACAATGTAGAATTTAGATAACCTTGGCCAAAATTGTATGTCTGTCCCCCAAATATTAATAAAAATATGAGAAAGTATAAAAAAATCAGCTCTTGGGGTAGATTTTACAAATATTTGCAAAGTCAAGAATGGACCAGGCCAAAGCCAGGATCGAGAAAATCCATCCTGGCCTCCCACATGGGTAACAGGGATCCAAGCCCTTGAGAAATCCTTTGTTACATTTCCAGATGCATTAGCAGGAAGCTGAGCTTTAGCAAGACTTAAACCAGCACTCTGAAATGGGATGCTGATGTTGTAAGTGGTGGTTTTAACCCACAGCACCACAACACTGGTCCCACACATCATTTTTTTAATGCATTATCTAAGTAACAATTAACATTACAATTTTTCAACACATTGTGTAATATGGAGCATGTTTACATGTTCCTGGAGGTAGAGAAATATCTCAATTATTCTATATATAACAAGTTAATAAAAAAATATGTCTTCAAAATAACACTAATAAAAAAAACCAAAATAACACTAGTAGATCTGGGTAGAAATTGAGAAAACATAGAGTTATAGAGTTTTGCTATTGAAAAAAATGACTATTTGGATGAGGAAATGGTGCATACATATTTTACATATTATCCTAAAGTCCATTTACATCTGAAAATCTTCATATCAATATGCCTCTCCTGGCAAGCACAGGCCTGAATTCTTAGGCCAGCCTTAAGGCCTGGTCACAGGTTATAATGCCTGATTGCATAGCTTGCCATGACTACAAATGAGGGTGTCAGTTTGTATCTTTAAAAGGCCATTTATAACAAATGTCTAACAAATGAACATTACCTGTTTACAGAACTCGCGATTCTTTTTTACTTTATTCAACAGGCACCTTTGTTTAAATACAAATTCAAGGAGTTATCAGAAATATACATACATGGGATGTATGATGGTATACCACTAAGAGGAAAAATTGTTTAGCGGAAGAGGGCTGGTTTGAACACTGGTTCTATCACTTTTGACCTATACGATCCAAAGGAAATTCCCAATTTCATTACTCCTGATATTCTTCCCTATGTATGAGAAGATTTTGCATGCAGGTTCATTGGCTATAGGCTTTGGAGCCAGACTTCCAGAGAGAAACCCTAGCTTGCCACTGTTGTCATGGGGACCTTGGGAAAACATGTAACCACCTGACATACCTTATTGTGTGGCTGGAGGCTATGGTTTATGCAAAGTGCTAAGAATTGCACCTGATTCAGAAATTCAAGTAAATATTTGTCATGATAAATAAAACTTGGCTAAAAAAGAACAAAATGAAATAATATAAAATTATACTGTACTCATGCTATAGTATTTTCTGTATTTGTTTAAGAGCATACCAGGCAGTCAATGAACAGTACCTAGTAAAAGTCCAGTACTCACAAATATATTTACATTACCTACTGATATGAATGCTTCTTAAGATGCTACATTTTGGAAGCAATTTAAAAAATTAAAACCACGTTTTCTACTGACAGTGTATATTACTTACATCATGTGTGACCAAATATGCAATTTCCTTGGGCATATGTGAATGGCTGTTTTTCTGGACATGCAAACATGATACAAGACTACTGGACTACATAAATATCTTTTTTTTTTACAATCTTGACATACTTAGCGTAAAAAGATTCAAGCACTACAGGAAGACGGGCAAGACAATTAGTTCCGTATTGTTTCCTGATATCTGATGTA